CAGAGTAATAGACTATCATAGGATACATAATTCGAAAGAAATTATACTTTTTGATAAAAGAATTTAACTTTTATACTATTAAAGTTATGAGTTGGAACTCCAACATATCTAAAACTATTATACCAAATAAATTAATTAGCCAGATTTACAGAATTAAAAAGGTTTATCCTGAAATAGAAATACAATAAGAAATCTTAATTCTCACAGAAATTTTAAAAGAAAATGAAATTCCAATAAGTTCACAGTCTTTTAAAAAAAAAAAAAAAAAATTGTGGAGTAGTCTACACCTCATAAAAGCTTTTTTAAGGTATGAATTTTTTATCTGAAAGCTCCAGTGAGAAGGATAAAGAAGGATTTTTTAGAATGTTATATAGGTTTTTAACATTGATTTACATTTATTTCTTTGCTTAGCTGTGATTAACTTTTGTCATGATAAAGCTATGATGTGAAGATTTTTTACTTTTCTAACATTTATCTTTTACTTCCTTTCTTTGCATTTTCTAAGACTAAATTTGTAATTTTTTAATAATTTTATTAAAAAAATTGTCTAATTGCATTATATTCGCCATTAAGAAATTTCCAGGCACCTTTGACATTACTTTAAAAATGGTAAAAACTAACCACCATTTAAGTCTCTTGCAATTTTTTAAATAATTTTTAATTTGGAATTTGTATATTCATTATAATGTTCTCGCTTTTTCCTACATTTCTTTATTCAGTTTTCTTCACTTTTATTACCTTTTCAACACTTTAATTGCAATCTTTTAAATTTAAATTTGCGTTTTAATTTGGAAATGTTTGAGGAATAATTCTTTGGTTTAGTTGACTTTTCAAAGTGCAGACCGTTTTTGAATAAAAGCTTAAGATTTCTTTGCAATTTCAGAATTTTTTCACTCTAGGAAGTGACTCACTTTTTCTACATTTTAAGGGTAAGTTTTCATTTTTATTCTTTATACATTAGAAATAGATTCTTTATACATTAGAAAAGTTTTTTAAATTCGAAGAACTTTTTTTAATGATTTTGCTTTGTATTTTTGCTATTTTCCTTCTCTTTGAGGATGACCAGAATTTTGGAGTAAACTATTAAGATTACAAAATATATTGAAATGGTTCATCAGTTAATTCTGGATAAAGAAAAGCAACGATTTGCTTTTGGAACGGAAATTGTAATTAAATTCGACATGCCTCCTCCTGACGACGTTATGTCAAAGTTGATTGGATTCCTCTTTTTTGTTCTTTTATATTCTTTTTTGGTTCTTGTGATGGTTTATTTTAATTCTTACATTTTTTTAAATAATTCTAATTCTACATTTTTTAATTTATTTCAATTTTTTCCCTTTATGAAATCTTTCTTTATATATTTACTGATTACTGATCAATTTTCAGTGGCATAATGCACGAAAATTCTTGCAAGAAATATAAATTTTTCTTTTAAACTATTATTTGTGTTTCTGTCTCTCTCTTTCTCTACATATACATATATAATCCTGTTGCGTAGGTACAGGTTCGTAACATATTGAATGCACAAGTCTGATAATAGATTAATAAAATTTATTTTTATCAAAAGAATATTTCAAAACTCTGAAATTTTCGAAAGAAATATTCGTACAAGTGTTCACAGCATTCCACAGTATAATCAGTAGTTACACTTCAAACTAATAAGAACGTTAAACACAACGCTATGCAAAGCGCATCTAAAGCGAAAGCTAACTCGGATTTATCTCAAACCATGCAAACTACATATTGCAATTACAATAATTAAGCAACTGAACTCAGATGCTCTCTCTCCGACCTTTTATACTTTTCAACCGGCCGCCGAGATATTTCTAGTACTTTCTGTTTCTCGAATTTACTGGAAAGGAATACAAGTGTAGAATTAAGGTTACAGCTAACATAGTGGTTAATTACATTTATTCAGTTACAATACTTATTACGGTAATACAGGGACTGGACCAAAATATCGCTAAATGGTCGCCCAGTTGGCGACTTTTGGCGATTTCTCGCGAAATTTGGCTACAAAATAAGTTGCCAAAACCGTTGTCGCCTTGGCGATATCTCGCCAAATTACCAGATACCTGTTTATTCAATGTTAAATGCACTTGCTCCTGTATTCTTACTTTTCTGGCATAGCTTTCTCTTAAAATTTGTTTCGTGTTACATTCATTACACAGAAAAATACGTTTTTACATATAACTACAGCAAAATCATCTATCCATGTACAAATATTGTAACAATATATACGTTACGTTAGGCGAATATATATTACTTCAGTGTGAATGGCTAGTCAATGAAAGTTTTCATTTTCTTCACACAGTTACGCAAATAACGTGGAATTCGACAAATTTCTTCCTATTCTGCATATTATATTTAGGATAAATTGAAGAGATTGAGACAATCTGCACTCAAAATTTCAGCAACTAAATGTTGTCGATGGCTGTCGCAGTGAATTGAATACATTTCGGGTACATTTTGTTTTATATTATATTTGACCTTTATTAAATATAATGCCTGGGAATATCAAATATAATCCATAGATTTTCCATGAAATAATGTCTCAGAACTTTGAATATTGATTCGCCTTTAATGTCTCTTATCAAAATTCTCGAGTACAGCAGTTCTTCATGGATTCCTTAGTCAATAATATAACTAACATATACCAATAATACTGCTTCATTAACAGATAGAACTGACTCGTCCAACTATATGGAGAAATGGGTCGTTCGCAAATAATTACTCAAGAAGCTTCAGCATCATCACTCATTTCATAAATACGTGTTTGAATTGTATTGTTGCTCAAAGGAATTCTGGAGTATATCACATACGGGTTTATGTCGAACCGTTTTTAAAACTTTTTCAATAGCTGGCATAATTAGCTGTTCTTCAAAATTATGTGGGATTCCTAATTTTAGTAGTGAGATACTGTAAGATGCCAGCAAACCATTATCCATTCCAACCATAAACCATTTTGACGTCGAAGTTATTGTGGGTCTCCTCTGAAGTTTTTCGTTCAGCATTTGAAAGTATATCAAATTTTAACCGTTTTACCAGGGTAACACATTCTTAGATGATCCTCTAGCTTGGATTGTTTCACAGAGTCACTGCTTGAAACTTTCTTGCATAAAAGGCACTTGGGCAAGTTTTATCCGACAATGATGGAATGAAGCCGAATTTCAGATATCAAAGCTACACCGCCTACATCTCTTTTTAGATTCGGCCATGTTTAGTAGCAGTTATCTGTGGACAAAAGTTAAGCTATTTAAACATGATAAGCCATTACAATTCAAAACTGATTCAGGCGTAAAACCTCATTTTAATCTTGAGTTAGGTACACAGGGTGTTTTATTTTAAGTTGGGGCATTATTTTTACCAGGTTAGAGTACTCATTAAATAAAGTTACTCTGCAAAATTTACCCTATGAAAAAATAAAAAATCCCACCTTATGTCCACCAGAAAATGCCTTTCCGTTAAAAAGAAAAGCTCCTTGCTTGGTCTGAAATTTAGTTATACTCGCTATAATACAAAATATTGTATTGGTTTTTAAAGAAGGATGCTTCGTTCGCCACGAAACATAAACAATTAGTAGAACTACCATTGTTGGTGTTTTTAGATATTTTCTGCTTTAAATTTTAGAAACTATGCGGAATTATAAACATGATAGGCATTTCTACACAATCAAAGGAGCTATGAAAAGATGTTTTATTTTTAAAAAAATTACTTTTTTCAAACTTCTTTGAAGATTACTTTGATTAACTTTATGTACCTAACTAGCTATTTAATTTTTTGAAAATATTTGCTCCTCTTTCTTCTTTCCAAAATTCATAAACAAATATAGTGTTTATCTCTGATACTCATAATTTATGAATCAAACAAGCCTGTGCAAGCACAAGTGGTACAAATCTGCGTCGTTTTTGCAAAGCTCTAGTACATGTCTGAACAACTACAGCTATCGCACGTAGCTTTTACAGAAAACTAAATTTTGGTGAAGCTGCTTAAATGGGATTCTATCTTGCGGACCCTTATTTACATCTCATGCACTCCCAATTTTTTCTTTCATTGATATAGACCACTTGCAGGTCAGAGTAGACCCCTGGGGGTCCTTGGTGGATTTGCATTCAACGTAATTGTTTTGAATTTTCAGTAAAAGTCATTATTTCCTTATATTCAATGTTTTATTCAGAAGATGAAGAACGAGCTTCAAAGGTAGTAGCAATATGACCTCTTGATACCAAAAAAAAAAAAAAAAGATTTTGCCTCAAAAATAACTGATACAGTAGTCATGTTTTAATTCTACTTAGCTGAATGAAATAATTTAGCTCTAAATTTCAAATTTTCTAAGTCAAAAAAAAAAAAAAAAAAAAAAAAAAAAACTTTTGCAAGACGGCCATTTCTAAAAATAACCAGTATTTCTGAAATAAATTTTAACAAAGTAGCCAATCCCACAGAAGAAGAAAGATATATGGAATCCCGGATGGTCATTGTGAGATATTTCAATGTATCGCAAAATTTTTATTTAACACACATTGAACTCTGTCACAAATTAATTAAAATTTTCATTTTTCTTTTATTTATTTATTTATTTTAGTTGAATAGCTAATAAATACATAACTTTTAGAGTCTATGAATACATACTTCAAAATTTAAAACATTATTTCCTTCTTATTCTTCACCATTAAAAGACTATTACTGAATTATTTATTCCTTCAATTCAGCTTCAGTTCCTTGATTCCTAAGGACACAATTTTGCTAATAATTCTTTAAAATTAATATCCAGTAAAGAATTTGAATGTACAATTGGTATAAAATTTTAAAAATTCATACAACAGATAGAAAAAAATACAAAACCAGGTGTTTAGTCCTGGGAGAGTATTTTTTTTTTTAAATTTTATTTTATACTTACTGCAAGCAGACATAAAATAATTTATACAAAATATATCACAGATAAAAATATGAATGTAAATATACATATGTAAACCATATGGTCATTCATTAATAAAGGAAAATTCAGAAACATACTACTTTTTATTTACAACTTCCATAAGTTTTTCATCAAACAACCTTGGATAACAGATCATAAAGTTAAGAGTTACACTAAAATACATATTTTTTACAACCAAATTTAGCTCATAAGACACATACATTCTAATAAATATCACAAAAATTGTCTGAATATTGAGATTATAGACATAATAAGGTATAAAAGTTTCTAGCCTGCCATTTTTAAAATCATTCGGCAAATTTCTCTGATATACATGTAGTTGCAAGTTAGAATGAGTAATTTGGAAGTTTTGTTATTATAATCGTTCTAGTTACTTTGTAACAGTTATTTGAACAAAGTGCTTTGCAAGTTTTTTTCTAAAATTTTTAAAACTGATTACTGCATAATCTTTAAAATTTCTGATTAATTTTTTAAATCCAAATAAAATAATGTTCGAATGTGTAATGGTAGTTCTTCTCCCCATTCTACAATGAAAGAATAAAAAACTAAACTCAGTGGTGTAACAGCCCCAGTGGGCCATGGGCTGCAGTGCCCCAAAATCTGCTTTTTTGACCTTGGGCCCTGCAATGCATCAGCATATGCCTTGGGCAAGTGGTCAGCGTGTCGCAGCCCTCTCCCAGGTGTTTAGTCCTTAAGAAAACTCAGTACTCATTTTATTGACCCATTCAAGGGATGAAATGCTGAGTCAGCCTTTTCAGCCTAGGCATCAAACCCCGGGCGAGGCTAGTGGCAAAGTGGCTGCGCAAAATATCTTTGGCCATGCAAAATATCTTTGGCCATTCTCTTATTGGGAAAACCTGGTGACAATGAAAGAATGGTCAAAGATATTTTGCATGGCTAAGAATCTACTTTAAGTTATCCTCATCAAAGTCAACCAAATTAGAGGCACTGACATAAAAAAACTCATCCACTATCTTATCAGAAAACTACTTACCGTTATCAAGGAAGAAATATTAAGTAGAAATACTAGCAGGTTAAAAATTAGAGAAATAGTAGCAAGTTAGATCTCTCAAAAATAACTGTTTTGTGCATTCCGTATAAGCACTTTTACATGATCAAGATCTCTGCAAAATGTGTGTGCTGACTATTGTCAGCCATTTAAAAATATCATATCAATTGTTGTAATAAGTTGTTGTAGCTTTACAACATAAATTGGAGAATTATTTTGCATTAGATTGTAACAGAAGATGAAACTATAATTCAGTATGATGATCTTTTATCAAAGAAGAAATCCATGTAATGCAGAAAACTGGATTATGTGTCACCAAGGAAGGCAAGAGAGCAGCTATTAACAAAAAAAGATCATAGTCACAAATTTTTGGAATTGTCATGCGACCCTCATGAAAGATTTAAAGAATGAAACATAAATATGAATGTGGAATAAAATATTCACGAAATGAACACTATGAATGCAAAAATTTTACGTAAGTCTTTTGCATAAATTAAGCAATAAAATTAAAAGGGAAAAACAAGGAATGTTGAGCCAAACAGTTTGTCTCCTGCATGATAATATTCCAGTTCATACAGCTATTATTGCCAAAGAAGCGATAAAGGAACGTTAAGTTTTAAAGACTAATTATTTCTTTACAATTGATATCTAGTCCAAATTACTGCTATCTATTAAGCTTAAATCTGAACTTGATGAAAGAAGATTTATTGATGATGATGAGAGGATAATAATTATAGCACATTTCCCAAACAAATCCTCAGATTACTTTTTAAGGCCACAAAACTGCTAGTTAAAAGATGTGAACAAATCAGTCAACAGTTAAAAGATGTGAACAGAAACAACAAGTATAAGGCAAATATTTAAAAATAAATCAGTCAGTTCTTCTTTGTTTCTCTTAGACATGCGTGAAGGCAAAAACTTTTGGAACTTAAACTCATGATAATATCAATATCATTTATTACAATTTCATCTAAGACAATAACATTTTTACAAATAAGTATTAAGAGTATGTCTTATTTACAAAACAGATATAGCATCATTTTAAATAAATAAAAAAAAACAAATAATTAAAAACAGGGGGTAGGAAAACGATAGATACCAGCTATTTTCTTTTAATATTGACTCTATACATGCACTACTAATTAGGAGATTTCTCAAAATAATATAAAGAATTTTATGAAAACATTTTCAGCACTGGAAGTAAGGAAAGCTCTGTAAATAAAAAACTTTTCATATGGTTCCTGCAGAGTTTAAAAAAATAATAATTAGTAAAATGCTTACTACATTCCAGTAAGTTAAAAAAAATTAACCACCTTTACATACAATAATCATGGAGACAAATGCAACTAATAATTTTATGAGGCCAGTTGATGAATATTGTTTCATACAATATAGAACTACTAATCACAAAAATGAGCAACTTTTATTTGTAGCTCTTCCCTAATTTGGAAAAAATCTTTTCAAAATTACTGCACCATTTTTTAAACACCCTGTATAATTTATTAGAAACATTAAGAATGTCCTTCCCTGAGCTACCTACTCAATCATATATAAAACTATATCTGCAAACAAATTCAAACAATTTTAATATATATTAAAACTAAATAAATAAATATATTTTGTACTCAAAAATACCTTAAGTAGCCATCCCTAAGAATCACACTTTCAACAAGAATCAATAGCTCAATACATCTAATAAAATAATAAATAATAGCTTCTTATAATAAAAATCACTGATGTGGCTAGTTAGCTGTGTTTAAATCAAAAGTATGATATCAATAATAAAACGTATTCAATCTGGTTTAGAACTGTACATAGTTCTTTATATATAAGTTGTTATCATTAACACCTACATTAACATTTAAATCACCACATACATATATTCTAACAATGTGTCAAAAAATTCTTCAAAAAAAAATAGCAGATTATAGACACTTTCTAGTATCAATTTTGTAAAAGGTGTTTTTTTTTTTTTTTAAAGGTGTTAACTCTTTTTTTTTTTTTTTTTTTTTTTTTTTTTTCAGGTTTTTTCCCAATTCATGAATATATGACATTTCTCCTAATACCGGCACTTTAGGATTATCTTAATGCTCATATAGCAAAAGATGTAATTAGTTAAACTTTTCAAGCTTGCAATTTCTAAACAAAAGAACTGAAGTCACTAATATAATATTAAACTATAAACTGTAAATAACTTCTAAGATGAAATATTATTTAAAGCAGTCCATATAAGAACTATGTATTACTTGTACAAGGCAAGATTCGATTTTCGCTTAAAAATTCCTTCCAGTTCCAGAAACAAAGTTTTTAAAAAAAAGCTAAATTTAACTACCCACTCTTCATATCAGTGACATACAATGATGATGGTCATCTTCATCATCATAATCATTATTATCATTTGTTGATTATTATTATAGAAAGAGACAACTAGCTTTATAAATTTTCTTTTCTGTTTTGTTCTGCATTTGCGACAAGCTAAGTAACTTAATGAATTCTTTTCTGATACGTAAATTCATTAAAGTGTCTCATACACTGGGAAGAAATAATAACTAAAACCCTTAGATATGGTAATTAGGGAGAATTAAAAACACATCAGATTCATTCAATGATGGTAAAATACATACATAATAAAACAGGTAAAAAAATATAATTTAATTTTTTAGAAAAAATTATTTTTTAATAAAAATAAACCTTTAATATCATTACATTAAATAAGCTAACAATTCCTTCTTTAAACAGCTTTTATAAATGCTAGTTAAGACTTAAATGCCATAATTATCTCCAGCGAGGAGTGTGCCTCTCTTTTGCTCTGGCACCAGTTCTGCTATAATCACCCTTTGCTTTTACATTTTCCTTTTCACTGCTTTCTTTTTCCACAGTTACTTCTTCATCTACTCTGTAAGGAAATAAATTTCAAAATTAATATTTACTTACAAAACTAATGCTTATTCAAATACACAATTAACTCTTTTAACATTTAAAGACAATTTCATTTATAAAAAATCAAAATACCTCATTTCAAGTCAGTCTTTAATAAAATAAATTACTTTTTATTTAAATACATATAGTAAAAAACTACAAATGAAACTGTTTTAGTGAAGTACTGATAAAATATACATCAAAATTTCCAATTTTTGTTACAGTCAACACTCTGAGTGAAATATCTAACAACTTTAAGAAGAATCTTAACAACTTGAGAATGTAACAACTTATAATTGCGGTGAAACTTAAAATATTTCTTCCAAAAATAATAATAAGAGAAAAATACAAAGATACACACTTTAATTTTAAATTTTTTTTTAATTCACTCCAAAATATATGTCATGGAACACGTTAAGAAGCAACACATTTAATGATATTTACTTAATACCTGTCACAATTTTCTCATATTATATCTTATGTAAAACTGATTCCTTGTGACTCAAAATAAATATTAAACTATGATGTGTTAAAAAGTAAACAGGATTAATATCTTTATCACAACAAATAATTACACATAATATCTATAAATTAAGTATAATAACAGCCTGAAAAAAGTTAAATACAATAATTTCTTAAAAACATTTAAATGAAGATGTCCCAAAATAAATGCCATTACCCCATACCTTACTTCATTTTAGTTGTGATGAAGATTCAGAACATCAGAAGTGGAAACAATATGCTGTTAGAGAATTGTATATGTGAATGTGACACAAGAATAATGACCATAGTCTGTACTTCAGTATATAAAGGAACAAAATCTATAATAATTTTTTGGGTATTTCAATAAAGCTAAAATAGTTTTACTTAAAAATCTTGATGATGATCTTGACAGTAACTTATTTCCTATTTTAGAAAAGATTAAAGTTTTGCTTGAGAATCTTGACATTGAATGAATCTGTACCTCATTCACGATCAGTTTAAAAAATCATCACACTATTAAAAAAAAATAGCACACCCTATGTTGCAAGAGACAAATGAAAATAGAAAAGGCTTATTTCTAAACAAACGACAACAATAAATAACAGATTTACACAATCTTAATAAAAGCATGTACATTTCACACAACAGTAAAAAAAAACTTAAATATTATCACATAAAAAGAACATGTATATTAAAATATTAGAGAAGCTAATAAATGTTACATTATGCTCCAAATACCTAGTTAACTCTTAACACAGTTTATGTAGATATTTGAAAAATGTGGATAATAGAATCCTCCTGTATGCCAAATACATATTTGCAGCAATGCAAATGATGGAATTTATTTTTTTAATTACATTTCATTTCAATAAACATCGTGTAGTTGAAGAAATATTTGTAGTTCCCTAAAACAAAACATAACACACACTTTTATGTTAAAATTAAGAAGTGATATGATATTTACTTGTTTAAACAAACAATTTATTTCATCCTATATAAATGATAATTTTTATTTATAAAGATCCTGAAACTATATATATAATCTTATATTTTGCACTCAAACTGCACAAAAAATGTTGTGTGATATATGCATAAAGCAAAATTCATAATGTATTCCAGTTCAACAGAAACAAAACTAAGGCATTGTTTTCTCTCATATAAACAAAGAACAGTAGAATTATAGGTGTAAATGCTTTCTTTTTAATTTAATTGTTTAAATATTCATAGAACCTAGTGGGCATGCTGAATTTGAATGCTGCACATATTCTTTTAATTTAATAGCTTTAAAAATATGTGCAGTGGTACCTCTGCATACTAATTCAGTTCATTCTTCATTCCGAGACCAAATTTGTAAGCCAAATTGGCTTAAAAGCTCATATCATGAAACATTTTTTTTTTCCACTGAAATGCATTTAAATACCATTAATTCGTTCCAGCCTACAAATAACCACTTCAGTTTTTTATATATATATATATTTTTTTTTAAATAAGAAAAATGTATTAAATAGAAAACTAACAAAACTTACTAAAACATAATAAAATACATAAATAGAAGGTAAAGAAATAAACTGCCTTATAAAGTTACTGTACTCTACTCTTGTATATCATACTTTCATTACTCTTTATTGGTTTCGTTATCTTTTTTTTTTTTTTTTTTTTTTTTTTTTTTTTTTTCCCACTTTCATTTAAAGTATGATTTAAAAAAGACTTCACCAAGAAAGTTTTTATTTCATCTTCTCTTTAGAATTGTTTCTGAAATGTGGTAAACAAGTGTCATTGAATAGGACTGCTGAATGAAATGTTGAAATTTCTTCTCTTTTTCTTCCCTCCTCCCCCCCGAATGAACTCGGCAAGTGCCTTCCACTTTCCCAGAATTTCATTAATTTCAGCTAAAGAGATAGGCTCTTCTACCTCGTCCTCATTATTCAGTTTCTTCTAAACTTTCAAACTGTTACACTCCTTGATCTGTGGTTAACACGTTGAGCCCAGCGCCAGTCCCTGGGGACTGGCACTGGAATTTTCGTTTGGTCGGCGTCGGTCCCTGGGGTCGGCCGGGTGTATTCGGCTGGTCCTGCCAATGCCAGCTAAACAGCTGAATGGAAAGGACAGCAAATTCGGCACCGGGCTCAACGTGTTAACTCCTTGATTGTAGTTTCCTCCCAGCAATCCTCAATGAGTTCACCTATGTCTCTCTTATTTTTTTCTAGACCAATGGTCTTTCTGAGAGACACAATTTTCTCCAGCACTTCCTTTATATATTCTTATCTGAATCTTTCAAAACCTCTTTTGGACATAGTCTCAGGCTCAGCTTGTTTCATGCAAAGTTCAAGATCCTTCTTGAAACACACTGCCATGCCACATCAATAATTCTTAGGCCTACTGCAATATTAAAACTGTTTTCTAAAACTACTGAAATGGTAAGATTGGTGCTCTCCCTCACATCAAAGCAGAGGATGTGAGGGAGAGCACCAAGCTCAAGGGAGAACACAAGCGATTGGTAATATTTTTTTTTTTTTAATTTGAAATCACCTGTCGGTCTCTAGGCTGCAGGATAGGGGTGGTGTTAGGTGGAGAAACTTAATTAACTTAAATTCTTCAGGATTAGCTGGATGTGCAGGAGCATTACTGAGTACAAGAAAAGCTTGCATGTGTCAATTATTTGCCTCTAGATACTTTTAAACAGCAGAACCAAAGACCAGGTTTATACACTCTACAAAGATGTAATCCCAGGATTTTATTTATCTTAAAAAGGTGTAATCCACCACGTAATCTGGAGTTCTGCTTTTATATTTTTATGAACCTTAAATGCAATGGGGTTTTCTCAATGTTATATGAGTGGCGGCTTTATTTTGGAGGCACCACTCACATTAGCACACAGTGCGAGGGTCAACTTATTTTTCATCTATTTAGAAGGCCTGGTATATTTGTCTCCTCTATCATTATTGGTATTCTCTTTTAGAAGAGCTCTGTCTAATTACAGCTGAAGAGTCATTTTATTCAGCTTCTATCAATGGCACAAAAGTTTCTCTGCTACCTTTATGTCTGAGCTCGCTTCTTCACCAAGCTTGATGATGGAGTAAATTACAGTGAAACTTTTCAAACCAGCCATGATTTGGCTTAAATGTTTCTTCAGATTTCATGGTTTGAAGAGTCTTCGGCACGTTGGCATTTGTAACTAGTGCCTTCTCACAGAAGATCGCCTCGGTCATGGTATCTCCTTTCAGCTGCTTCAATATTGTACCTATAGTAGACCACATTGGCCAAGTGGGCATAACTTATGTTTATTAATTATATCATGCTTTAATTCTAGGGACTTCATCTGTTCCTTCATACTACTCATATTCTTAGGACTTAAGTTATAAATATATCTTCATAATGATTATAAATATATATTTATATTAATTATAAATATAATGATAATGGCAAAATAACTGCACAAACATGTGAAGAATGCCCAAAAGAGAATACAAAAAAAATAATAACTGAAGAAAAAGCTTTGTCTTTCACTTTGTTTATGGAGCAACTAACTAATGGTTGCACAACGAAGCTCTGGCTTGAGCTTGCATCCTGATTTTTACTCTTATACAGGTAAAAAATTTGCTTGAATGCCAGCTTATATCCAAAGGTACCACTATATTATACCATTCTGTAGTATTTAAAATTCCAAAAATATTAAAATCCTTAAATAAGTTGGCAACAAGTTTAATTTCACTTGGCTAGAAAGAAACACAATCTGATAAAAAAAAAAAAAAAAAAAAAAAGTAGCTTCCATTATGAAAAACAGTAATTTTAATTTTACATGGTCAAGAGTGCCATTCACTTAAAAAGATTTTGAACTGCACTAAGTAGTTAACATTACTTAATGTTTTGCTCTTTTATTTGTGCTTAGGTTCTAAGGGAAACAAATACAACAGATGACTGAAAGCCGTTCATCTAAGCCCTTTCAACAAAAAACTTGATTTAAATTTGGAACACGTAATCTGGATAGTAAATTTCAAATATTTAGATTCTGGAGTATGTAATTACAGACTTACTTATTGCACTTTCAGTTACATTGTTGGATATTCACTTAATATAGTAACAAACTTTGCTGTTATAAACATCAAAAATACATAAAATTAGGAAATGAGTAAGTACTTTCTGATGCAACTCCCAAACATATGATTCTATGACTAATTATATTAAGTAAATGGTAAAATCTCGTACAAAAGATTTTATTTACATGTAACAAATGAGTAATGTTGATTTTAATAAATATTATATATGATTCTCCTCTTAAGATAACTTTAAATTTTTAATGGAATTAAAAGTCTTTGAATATGCTAAAATATAGCATAAATCTTAGCTGCAGATTAGGTCTCAAAATCTGAAACCAGAGTTACTTTTCTATTATATCGCTTTAATGCAGAATTAGTTCTCAATGCAGGAATTAATTAGTTTAAAAAGCTCTAAATTTTTACTAAATTCTATTCATACCTACAGATTTACCTGGAAATTAGCTCTCAATTCACTTTTCAGGTTCATTTCTCTGCACAAGAAAATTTTAAAATATCACAAACAATATGAAAATTATATTTTTAAATACCTGTTACTTATAAAAACATTTTCCTGAATATTTATTTCTGCTTGTTTGAGGGAATGCAGTAAATCTAAAGTTTCAACTTATTCATCCCTTCTTCAAAGTACAATACTCTTACAAAAAATTACAAGTAACTCTAAAAATGCAAACAAATGTCAAATAAACTCACAATATGTCAAAATTTCCCAATGCAGATTTATCTGGTGTCTTGTTCCACTTTGCACTGAAAAGAAATCATATTATAAGAAAAAAAGAATTTTAATAATTATTAATAGAATCATTCCATTATTCTAGATCATTATGATAAATTTTTAATTCCAAACCCCTGAAAAGTCTAGCGAAGCAATTATCGGAAGGAAGGAGATTTTTCATATTGTGCTTCTAACCTTATAATCTTAACTTTAAAATCAGAGATTTAAATCAAGCTTACTTACTTTTGGCTTACATAAAAACTAGAATCTGAACCCTTTTTACTAACATCTTCCTCTAAAATAAAGATTCAAGTAGCTTTGGTTATCCCCATATAAGTACTAAGAAATGAAAGATTATACTTAATTAATAAAACTAGATTGTGTTGAAAATGCAGAGTTAAATTATTACCATTACAGAAGATCTTCCAAAAAATGAAAAATAATTTCCTTAGTTAGATTATTATTTTTTTTATTTAAAAAAATTCAAACAAGCATAAAATGAGCTTTACAGAGAAATTTGACACAAATCTGAATATTTTAAAAAAGGAGAGGAATACTTAAAAACAGAAAATAGATAATTAGATACATGAAATTTATTTTAATGTATTTACAATGTGAATAAGAATTCTACAATTATAATTTATAGTATGAATAATAATTTACAATATGAACAATTCAAATAATTGCATTTTATAAAACAAAAATTAGAAACTTTACTTCATAATCTGTATTTTTATGTATTAAATTTGACAATCAAAGTAATCTTGATGGTAAAAAATTGTCCCATGTGAAAATTGAATATATTTTAAAACTTCAGAGTAGAAAACTATTTTCACATAAAAGTCTCGAATAAAAAAAACTTTTAAATGGAGAGAGAATAACTTTGAGCAAAGATCAACTGAGTAGAACAAAGAGGAAGTATTTCCTTTCTGGTTCCTGCTTTAATAGCAGTTGCAGAAGTCACCACTCTATGCCTATAGGCACAACCAAAGGTGTTGGAGTTAAAAAGTTTCCTGGATCTGGAATCGTCTCAAAAATACTTAATTCCAAATTTCATTGGCTTTACAAAATATAATGGATGAATAAAAAGAAGGATGCATCTTCCAAAAAAAAAAAAAAAATACCTGGAAATGTAGTGTATCAAAATTCAAATTTCCAACAAAATGACTGAGGATAATTTAAAAATGAAAGTTGTTGAAGTTGGATACTATGCTGGAATGGATAATAGTACTGCTTTTGTGCCCTTACAATACGTACCATATATTTCCAAATATAAGCTGATCCATGTATAAGCTGAAAGTGTGTTTTTTTCTTCAAAAATTTATCCAAAATTCAAAACATGTATACAAGAAGAAATGACAAAAACAATTTCTGTAACATTCAAACATGTTGCCACGAGGAGGGAAAAGCTACAAAGCAGGTAAAATGTGCGGAATATTTTCCAATCAAATTGCTGTTAAATAAAATGCCAGACATCAGTGACAAGTGTTTTAAATCTGGTAACCCTACCTGAAGCCAGTACATTTATTCCATTCATTTTTAGTGCAAAGGGGCAATTTTCCTAGAAGGGCTGTTAATTTTGTTTTGACATTTTGTTCACTATAAATGACATTTCACTTTTCAAATTGTTGCCACCAAATATTAGGGTCCTGCATTAATTATATTTAAAGAAATTAAATAATGAATAATCTGCATGAATGTATGTATGTTTCTCACACTATGAAAAAGCAAGGGTACCCAGAGACATCAAATTCCTCCACTCGAATATGGGCATCTGAAAGCTGAAATTTGGAATTTCATATTGCATATTTTGTCAGACATTAAAGAAATTTTGATTAATAAACTCAATGATTTCAAAGCGAGCAATGGCAACACTGTACAGGAAAAAACACTTTTATCACCAGCACGTGAGACTGTGTATCAGAAATTCTAAAGGTATGCTGTTTTTATTTATTTTCTGATACAGCTGTTGAATTGAATTGTGTGGTTTAAATACAATACATGGTATTTGTGCTAATTTTATTTTCTGTGCTTTTTTTTTTTTTTTTTTTTTTTTTTTTTTTTTTCCCTTGAAAGATGAGGGAGCACAGAAATTCTTATGCAACAAATTCCAAACTACAGATGATCACGTTTATTGAAAATTCTAACAACAGTATGGCTGCTTGGCATTTCTCCATATATGAAAAAATTTTCAACGGTGAGGAAAGCCAAGTGCTAATTTTGCTAACATCAAATCTTTTGTTTTGGTGAAGAGACAACACACCAACATCATTTTGAAAATAACCCGTTTTCAAAAAACGAATAAGTCATTTCATTCATAAACTTTTTCTTAAATATAAACTAAAGATACAAAAAAGTGCAATATTCAGCGATTTATTGCTTGCACCGAGATAACAGAAAACTACCTACATCTTACATTATAAATCTTACATTGGAGTTATTGATGAAACCTTTCAAATCAATATTCAGATATAGTACAGTTACAAATGCTAAATGCACAATTAATTTAAGACATTTAATTTGTTGAACCAGAACATTTAAGTTGTAGATATGATTTGTCTCTGTTAAGTTCTAGTGACATGCACACTTCATTAGCTAGATTACATCCTCTACTGAATATTGTGTGAATTAAAAGTCAAACTAAATATTTTGTATGACCTATATTATATATCACATTTTTTTTTCAAATAAATTAAATGCTGAAATTATAAAAATGGTATTTTCTTTGCAAACATTTCGCTTTTTTTTAAATAAAAAATAATTTTTTAAATAAAAAAAAGCACACTTAGTAACTTTATAAAGGAATTTCATTGCATTACCAGATACCAAAAAAAAATTAAGAAATTTTAATAGATGCAAAAGTATATATAAAAAATTTTTACTTTGGATATTCCCCATTCTCCAAGCATATGTTAAATATATCATCAATTAACTTTTGTTTCATAACCCGATCATTAGCAGTAGTGGCTGTCAAAGATGGCGAAGCATTGACTTCTATTAACCAAGGTTTCAAATCATCGCTTATAATTATGTCATACCTAAAAATAATACAATTTTTTTTTAAAACAGTGCAATATGATTTTCCTTAGAATATTTTAGAATGCTCATAAGCATTTAAACATTTTACAATTTTAAGCAATAACATAGTTCATCACTTTACAAACTGTATGTTTAGGGCTTCGTTAATTTCCTAAATGCAATTATTTAATCAGACTTATAAATTTTATACCTAATAAGTTTAGCAAAAGATGCGAAATTATACCATTTAAGATTTTTTTATTAAAAAAAAAAACTAAATTATATTTTTTTGAATTAAAAAATATTAAAAAATGGCATCTATTTGTTAAATAATAAATTACTACACATTTCTACCCACTAAACAAAACTGGATATAAGTAATTTCTGTTACATATATTATTTCATACTTTTAAATATTTACCAAATTAATAATAAGGGACAAAGAAGATTAATAGTTTTATTTGTGATTTTGCCCAGTGAAGACAAATTCACAATAGATTGAGACAAAGACACAAGAATGGTAAACTGAGAAAAATGTCTATGAAAAACTAAGAAAATTAGACAACCGTCTGCATTAATTAAGAGTAAAGTGACTAGAAATTTTTTTTAATTAAAAAGAACAATTTTTGCAACTGAAAGAACATAAGACTATTTTTTTGAAGCATAATCTTTCTACTTCAAACAAGATCTGACTGATTTGCTTCCTAATATAGTTAAATTACAAAAAGATGCCTAAATATTACTGCTATAATTTTTTTATTAATTTACTACAGTTTAATTATGACCTAATCATCAACAACTACATTTTCAATTTCCTCTTCCCTTTCTAAAATAAAAAATTATGCACTACATATTTAGTTGTAATGTATATAAGGATGCACACTTTCTTTTTGCCATAAGCAAAAAAATATCCAGGCACTTCTCTATTCATCTATACTGATATTAATCTTTTATCTTTCAGAATATTCTTACAAATTAAACTACAAAACTTAAGCATAAAAACAACCACTAAAATTAAGGGTTATTTATTACCTGTTCCGATACTTACCCATAACATTCAAAACAATGACGATCACTAACCATAACACTCTAGAAGTAAATAAATAAAACAAATTCAATTACAATAACAATACACATAATTATAAAACAACATTAGGGACAGAGCAAAAAAAAATTTCAGCACAGAGTCCATTATTTTATTATAACCCTTTCAGTAAAGATGTCTATAGAAAATATTGCGGACGAAAATGTGCCGGATAAAACAATGCTAGGCGAAAATATCATTGCACGAAACATTGTGGGAGAAAAGAAAGCACGAACATCACGGTTCTAAAGCATCATTACACAGAATATCACCATCGATAATACAGTGGTTAAAAAACTTCACAATATTAAAATAGCATTGTAAAAAAATATCGTGATAACAAATAATGCACCTACAAATCATCATATGACTATAATATCACAGACATGCATTTTCCAGGCCTTAAACATTATAAACACATATTCATGCAATGATTTGTGTGCATAAAAAAGAATAAGAAATACTTTTTGCTTTTATATTTCATATTTTTGCACTAACTAACAAATATTTTCGCTGAAAAAGTAAAAAGAAAACTTAAGCATTCAAAAACTGTACACAATTAGAAAATTTATGTAGTAAACAGAATTTCAAACTAATGTAGTTTATTAATAAATAGCATTATTTAATTAACCTCTTTTATAAAGTTTTATTGGTAATTACTCCTTTTTTAAATCCAATAACAATTTTTTACCAGTTAGAAACTGAAAATCAGAAGCTATTTCATTTAATCTTAGGCACCTGCTTATTAGTTACATGATGAAAAGATCTCTCATTTCACTAAGAAATAATACTTTTCTGGCAAATTTAGTTTTTTTATCAACTGATTCTTGAAAATCTGATTTATTAACCTTTATTTTTCACTTCTCTTTATATTCTGTTGATATATTCAGCTTTAATGACAAATTTTGACATGTCTCAAGATATTTTCTGTCATTTTCTCATTATCATTTTCAGAATGGTAACCTGGGCTCAAATTCCAGCCAACAGGCAAGTTGCATAGAAAGCGTCATGGTTTTTCCTCATATATAACTTGAATACAAAACAATTTCCTTTACAAAATTCTCCATGAAGACATTTCATCTTCTATCATACCATTTTTGCACTTTTCATAATCTAATTCAATTACTTAATCAAATCTAGTATCTAAAAATATTCACAAAATCATATTTTATAAATTAGTCTCTTTCTTCCCTAAATAATTGATAATAATTGTCCCTTATATTACATGTTTAAATAAAATAAGTGCACATATAAATAAATAAAATAAAATTAGATTTTTAAAAAAGCAAAATCATTTCTGTAATCAAGCATTAGTTCTATATATGATCTAAACCTTTCTTGAGGAAATAAAACACTTTATAAAATAATGGCAAAATTATTACAATCTAAATAAAATAACTCAGAGGAAATTAACTGAAGACAATTATTATTAATAAATAAAAATTTTAAAGGAAATTAAATTTTAAAAAAAATATAAGCATCAAATTACCTTTCATCTGCCTGAAAAAAAATAATAAAATTTCTTGACTATGACACATATTTAAACATATTTAAAGTTTCAAAACAAATTTTTTAGTTACTGAAATTGTTAAGGTTTCCTTTTTATTAAAATTCTAAAATTTGAAAATATTTACATTTATATTCATACTTTTAAATTTGAAAATTCTACACCCAAAGCTGTTACGACGAATATTATAAATCTTTCAAACAAATCTATTAGATTACTAGCGATGATTAGTATAAAGATCTCATGAATGCAATTGCTTTATTTTTCAATAAAAAACTGAAAATATAATACACAAGTATAAGATTGCAGAGTAAAATATAAAGAATAAAGCACACAGATCATGATATACTCACAGCAACTGATTTTAAAGAGTGCAGAATCAACCACCGAATGTTATCAAACAACTTATCTGTGACCTATGTAGGAAAATAATAAAGGCAATTTCAACATGAAAACGTATAATAAAAAAAGTAATTCATTTAGCTAGAAAAATAATCAAAACTTCTGAATTATTAGAAGGCTATATTTATAGCTTGAGTTAAACTAAGAATAAGCTTAATGATATAATTATGCTTTTACCTCTTTCCCTCTAGTCCCTTCCAGATACAGCTGCAGATTCTGAATTGCCCATTTTCCTCCATGTACACTGTTATATTCATCCTTATAAATATTACAAAAATTAGAAAAGAGAAGATCCTAAGGTAAAGAAAATAAATTGTACACGCAAATCAAAAGATGTAACCACTGTTGCCATAGAGTTATAAGAATTAAAAAGTTTGTATATATTATATACAGTCAAAAGTCGTTAATTCGGACACCCATAATTCGGAATGATCTATAATCCGGACATCAAAACTAAAAACTTTCTGCGCATGCGCCGCGTTGACAAATGCGCATAGGCGTTTACGCGTGCGCGTAAGACCTTTTACGACTGCGCATATCAGCTTTTACGACTGCGCAAGTGCAGAATACGTTTTCCCGTGCGCGTTTTATGTATAATGGAGGTATAAGCTAAAATTATCTAATTATCTATTTCAGTTAATGTTGATGATTGCGTTGTTCCTTAATTTTCGAATTGGATCCGGCTTATTATTTTTTGCAGACTGTAAGAGCAATTTTATAAAAGTAAGCTTGAACTTTCGATTATGTCAAATAGAATTTCCGATATATATTTACTACAAAGCGAAAGTATGTTTTGAAATCCGAAATCTGTTTATCAATTTCACGCTGCTCTGCGGCAGAGGGGGGGGCAGAAACGTCATTATTAGATTATGATAGGTTAGAAAGATTATGTCAAATAGAATTTCCAATATATATTTACTAATATGTAATTTGTATCTACAAAGCGAAAGTATGTTTTGAAATCCGAAATCTGTTTATCAATTTCACGCCGCGGATTGGAAGTTGATCTGTCAACACTATCCTTATCTTCAGAGCAGATGTTTTTATTTTATTTGGATTATAATTCCGTACTAAGTTTAGTATTTCATCTCGATGTACTCCGTTTTTGATATGATTTAAATCAAGTTCCTCGTCATTATAATTCGCTTCCGATAGTGAAGAAAGTGACCCAGAGGTTATTGAAAACGAAAACATTTCGATTGACAAATTAGTCGGTATTCTCAACACAGCAATTATAGGACTTGAACGGCGGAACTTTGTAACTAAACAAGAAATTATGTCTGTTTAATAGAATTAAAGAGAAAGTATTATCACATGAAACGAAGCAACTTACATTGAAGGAAATGTTTAATAAAGTAAACAAATAAATATTAAGTTTTTTCTTTTTGTAAATTTTGATACCCTTTAGATCATAATTGTTCTTTATTTCATAAATTACGGTTTCATATTTTTAATTTTGTAATTTTTGCATGCCATCTTACCAGATTTAAACTGATGATCTATAATCCGGAAAAATAGATAATCCGGAATCGCCGAAGTCCCGACGAGTCCGGATTAACGACTTTTGACTGTAGTTCCTAAAATTTAAGTTACATGGATTTTCATTACAAGTGAAAAGGAAATACAGTCAAAAGTCGTTAATTCGGACACCCATAATTCGGAATAATCTATAATCCGGACATCAAAACTAAAAACTTTCTGCGCATGCCCCGCGTTGACACATGCGCAGAGGCATTCACGCGTGCGCGTAAGACCTTTTACGACTGCGCATATGAGTGTGCGCAAGTGCAGAATACGTTTTCGCGTGCGCATTTTATGTATAATGGACGTGTAAGCTAAATAATTATCTATTTCAGTTAATGTTGATGATTGCGTTGTTCCTTAATTTTCGAATTGCATCCGGCTTATTATTTTTTGCAGACTGTAAGAGCAATTTTATAAAAGTAAGCTTAAACTTTCGATTATATCAAATAGAATTTCCGATATATATTTGTTAATATGTAAAGGATCTAAAGCGAAAGTATGTTTTGAAATCCGAAATCTGTTTATCAATTTCACGCTGCTCGGCGAGGGGAACGCCGCGCCGCGGCGGGCGCGTAATGAATTGGAAGTTCATTTGTCAGCACTATCCTTATCTTCAGCGCAGATGTTTTTATTTGGCTTATAATTCCTTACCAAATGTAGTATTTCATCTCGATATGCTCCGTCTTTGATATGATTTAAAACAAGTTCCTGGTCATTATAATTCGCTTCCGATAGCGAAAAAAAGTAACAGAGGTTATTGATAACGAAAAAATTTCGATTAACAAATTAGTCGGTGTTCTTGACACAGCAATTATAGGACTTGAACAGCGGAACTTTGTAACTGAACAAGAAATTATGTCTGTTTAAATAGAATTAAAGAGAGAAGTATTATCACATGAAACGAAGTAAAACTTAAACAACTTACATTTAAAAGAAATGTTTAATAAAGTAAACAAGTAAATATTAAGCTTTTTCTTTTTGCAAATTTTGATACCCTTTAGATCATAATTGTTCTTTATTTCATAAATTACGGTTTCATATTTTTAATTTTAGAATTTCTGCATGCCATCTTACGAGATTTAAACTGATGATCTATAATCCGGAAAAATCGATAATCCGGAATCGCCGAAGTCTCGACGAGTCCGGATTAACGACTTTTGACTGTATATGAAAATTTTAGTTCTGAACACAGTCTTCCCACCTTTACACATCATTATTTTTGTAACTGTATTACCATACAATTACAAAACTACTGTGATAATTCCACTGGGATACCAAAAGCTTTGTCACCCCTCTTGATATACAAACAAATACCTAAAAAATGCAAATAATATAAAGAGAAATAAATTAAAACTCTATGTTTATTTTTAAAGAAAAAATTTAATGCCAACATTTTAAAATTATATTATTATTTTGCTTGTTTTTTCATTTTCAAAACCATCAATGACATCATAAGAGTTCCAGTTGCTGCAATGCAAAATAAACATTTTTAGTTCTTAAATACTTTTTAAATGCAAAATAAACACTTACACTTTTAAAATACTTTCTAAATTATTTTTATTAAGAAATGGCTTTTCACAACCATTAATTGGGAGGAATTGGGAGGAACCATTAATTGGGAGGGCACTTACATTAATTGGGAGGAAAGTTAGCACTTGTATTACAATAGCTGGAATTTTATTCTGAAGATTGTATTTTAGAATAAACTGCAATTATTTCAAGGGACTGCCCTTCCAAATTCTTGTTTCATTTTCCCTAGCAATAATGGATATAAAACTCTTGAAATACTTCTCTCTTGACAAAGAATTTTTCCTTATGAACGTCACTATGATCATAGTTTAGTAGATATTTATTTTCAGTAAAACGTTTCTACCAAATAGAAAAGGTATAACAAAGATGTAGCTGTTGAAATCTTGTGGTGATTTCATTCAGTATTTTTACCTCAAGTGAAAACTATTTTTTTAATTCAATTTAATTTCATATGCCACTCATAATCTCATTATTATTTAGTCTTGATGATCCACATGACTAAAATGTTTCATGGAGAAAATGATGCTCCAAAAATGTGCCACCCCTAGTGGACCACGCTCTCTATCTTCCTCTAGCTATGCCCATTGCATAATTTCAGACACTGCTTATGTATTCATTCCCACAAGCACTGGAAATGTAAGTTTATCATAGAATCATAGCTCTTTTCTTTAACCTCGCTTTAATTTAAAAAAATTTTAATGAGTCCATTAACAGATGCAATTAAGATACTGATTAAGACACTGCATATTAAACTTTTTTAGCCAATAGTTTCAATGTCTCTGGACAATAAACTTATTTTTCCAGCTCACAACAAATGATATTGTTTCTTTTGGGTACAACTTTCACTCACTGAATTTTTTACAGAGGGGGGAAAACAAAATAATTAATGCTTTATGCACGATTTCTGTTATAATGGTTTTGATCATACTATCAGATGGAAATCAAAAAACATTTTAATGCTAATCAGAGCCTGACTAAGGCATATGGGGCAGTTGTCCAGGCCTCCACATCAGAACAGACCCCCAAATTGAACAGAAAGTTTATTTTATGTTTCCTTCTTTAATGAACTTTTTTTAAACAAAATATCAGTCAAATTTTGGCTCTTCAGATGTTCTTTATCCTTTTAATGATAGACATAAAATTGTTAGAAAATCAATAAAATGGACAGAACGATATTTCGTCTGACTATAAGAAGGGTGGGACCTTTATAGCTATTTTATGTTCTAGTCAATTTTCTAGTCATTGTTATATATCTATAATGAAGTGAAAAATTTAAATACCTCCATAAAGTTTCGTTCTTCATTACTGAAGCAGTGAAGCAGAGGGGGCCCCCAAAGAAGTTTCTGCCTTGGGCACCATTAGGCTAAGTCAGTCCCTGATGCTAATTATTCATTGCATTCATAAAACATGTCAATACATGTTTATTTCTCCCTCACATAAGCTTTTTCAATGCATATCAGGTGAAATACATAAAGATGTTTCTGTTTTAACAAACATGCAGCTAAACTTAAATAAGTCAACTCTAAAGGGAAAAGACAAAAAAATTGATTTATCAAGAAAAATAACAATAATTTTGAAACCTTCCTTTTGACCGAGTTAAGAAAGTCAAATAATTGAAGCTCTACTGCAATTATGAATTTTGTATACCAATACTTCTGAAGACAGAAACTGCCAAATTATTTGAATATTGGATGAAAACATATATAAGATAATTAATAAGAATTAAGCTTCCATTCTGAAAAATATATTACACTAAATCATCAAAGTTTAACATTAAAAATTACATACTCTTTTATATCCAACATACACTATTTTGAAAAAAAATTGAAGCACCATGAAGGAAATGGTTGTTTTTGATAAAACTGAATATGTGTATAGCTCACACACAGATAATAAAATGATTAAAAAATCAAGGTCATAGTACCTATTCATGGCTCACAATCACCCACTGAGTGTTCAAATTAGTAGTTGGTTGAACCGACCCTGGCAGCAAAGCATGCTTGAATTCCTCGAGGCAAGGAGTGGTAGAGGTTCCTGATGTCATCCTGCGACACATTCTGCCAAGCATTCATCAGTTGTCGCTCCACATCTGCGATATATTTTGGTGCCCGAATCTGGCGGCCTACCATGACCCACACATGCTCAATTGGTGAAAGGTCTGGTGACCTTGCTGGCCAAGAAAGAGTAACAATCACACAGAGACAGTCCAGAGATATGTGAGCAGTACGTGGCCTGGCATTATCTTGTTGGAAAATGGCCCCAGGATGACGTGCCATTAAGGGTAATGCAACCGGCCCCATTATGGTATCGACATATCTGTTAAAGATGGATGGATGACTAAAGATGACATGCTGTCATAAGAAATAAGGCCCCACACCATCACACCATGGGTTATGGCTGTATGCCTTTGTAAGACAAAGGCTGATTGGAAATGCTGGCCCTGCCCTCTCTAGACACGAACACGGTGGTCATCTGCTTCAAGAGTGAAGCGGGGTTCATTGCTGAACACTATACGATGCCAGTCTGATGGCAGCCATGATGATTGGCTGCGACACTACTCAAGCCGACTTCGCCGATGTTGTGGGGCCAAACGCTAACCTCTTAAAGGCCTCTGTGAGCGTAACCCCACCTCAGACAAGTGCCATAAGATGATTGACAGTACCACGGGACGGTATAGATGTGGCTGTAGTGTGTTGAGTAGTCGACAATGATACCATTGGGGCGGTTCGGGCCTTTAAGAGATAGATAAGTATTTTAAATAATAGTTAAAACTAACTGGAGAAAAGTCATCCTATATTGCCTCGCATTCGTGATCTTTGGCCTTCTAAAGCCTTCATTTCGTCGGCAATTTCCTTGTAGAAACATTGCTGCCAACATATTTGCACAGCAGCTGCAGGTGGCAGCCTATTACTCGAGCTTCACGCAATGCTACAATGCGACCACATTCAAAGTCATTTAGTTGTCTGTAAGGTCTTTGATACAGTCGTAATGGCACCTTTAGTTGCTTCTTTACAGAATTACAAAGGCAGCAACAAAAAAAAAAAAAAAAAAAAGATAAATTTTCCACCTCTGTTACTGGTTTTATACTTTGCAAAATGTGTGCTATGATCGCAATTCCTGTTCATCTGCCTTGAAACTTTGATCATTTGCATGTTCAATCAAGGTGTTTTTGCATACCAAATTTCGTCACGATCGCAAAAGTCCTTCTTGGAGCTTTGATTTTTTTGCAAAAGAGTGTATTTTAAATAATAAAACTAACTTCACAGGGTTATCACAATTGCTCTTAATAAAAAAATATGAATTTGCTTTCTTTATAAGCAAAAGGATTTTTGTGTCTAAAAATGAAACTTACAGCTTGCTTCTGTATAGAAACATTTGTCAAATGAACAAACATGTTATCCAATTCCTTAATGTTACCAGAATATTTAACATGGCAAAATCTGCAAAATCCTAACCGATAGCTGTAAAAGAAAAGCAAATAAAATATCTTAAGAACTGCCCTAACTACATCACATATTACTACATCTACATATTGTCACTAAAGATGTTAAATTTCTGTAAAAGAATATAATACAGTCAAAAGTCGTTAATCCGGACTCGTCGGGACTTCGGCGATTCCGGATTATCGATTTTTCCGGATTATAGATCATCAGTTTAAATCTCGTAAGATGGCATGCAGAAATTCTAAAATTAAAAATATGAAACCGTAATTTATGAAATAAAGAACAATTATGATCTAAAGGGTATCAAAATTTGCAAAAAGAAAAAGCTTAATATTTACTTGTTTACTTTATTAAACATTTCTTTTAATGTAAGTTGTTTAAGTTTTGCTTCGTTTCATGTGATAATAATTTCTCTTTAATTCTATTAAACAGACATAATTTCTTGTTCAGTTACAAAGTTCCGCTGTTCAAGTCCTATAATTGCTGTGTCAAGAACACCGACTAATTTGTCAATCGAAATTTTTTTCGTTTTCAATAACCTCTGTTACTTTCTTTTCGACTATCGGAAGCGAATTATAATGACCAGGAACTTGTTTTAAATCATATCAAAGACGGAGCATGCATCGAAGATGAAATACTACATTTAGGTTAAGCAATTATAAGCCAAATAAAATAAAAACATCTGCGCTTGAAGATAAGGATAGTGATGAGAGATCAACTTCCAAATCATTGTGCGCCGAGGCATTCCCCCCGCCGAACTGCGTGAAATTGATAAACAGATTTCGGATTTCGAAAACATACTTTCGCTTTAGATCCTTTACATATTAGCAAATATATATCGGAAATTCTATTTGATATAATCGAAAGTTTAAGCTTACTTTTATAAAATTGCTCTTACAGTCTGCAAAAAATTATAAGCCGGATCCAATACGAAAATTAAGGAACAACGCAATCATCAACATTAACTGAAATAGATAATTAGATAATTTTAGCTTATACCTCCATTATACATAAAACGCGCACGGGAAAACGTATTCTGCACTTGCGCAGTCGTAAAAGCTGATATGCGCAGTCGTAAAAGGTCTTACGCGCACGCGTAAACGCCTATGCGCATGTGTCACCGCGGCGCATGCGCAGAAAGTTTTTAGTTTTGATGTCCGGATTATAGATCATTCCGAATTATGGGTGTCCGAATTAACGACTTTTGACTGTAATACAGTTCTAAATCTTTCAGCTAAGAATCAGTTAGAAAAGCTTTTTTAAGCGATGTTAACTTAGGTGAAAACTAAATTTTATGTACCTATATATTATAAATAATCAATTAATTAGGCAAAATATATATTGTACATGAAAGCATCTATACTCTAAATACTTCTAAATAAGTCCCGATGATTTTCATAAATTTACATAATATTTAAGTCATAGAAGATTTAATGTAGCAGCAAACAATAATTTGAAAACAATTTATATTAAAATACCAAATTTAACAAATCAGGGATAAAATTAGGTAGCTTTTGATGAAATATTATATTCATTATTAGCTTTGGAAGTTTTTGCAGAATACTTTCAATCTTTGAAGAAATGAAATACTATATCAGCTTCCCTTAAGCTACAGTTTTTCAGTAAAAATCAATGTCAGTCTACAATTATAGTCTGCCTAATTTTTAAAATGTCTATATATAATTCTGAAGACTTTTTTTAATACCCTACATTATCTCCAAAGCCAAATTATGTATAAAAATAAAAGTAAAATCAATAGTAGCAAAAGTTATATACAGAAGATGAATTTGACACTCATGCTTGAATTTCAAATTTCATTTGGCAATCCTTTTCATACATCAGAAATACACTGGAGTGCAAAAATTAATGATGAGAAGGTTTTTTTCAATATAACATTGCGCAAAAATTTTCCAAATCAACAAAAATAATATCATAAGATCCCCAAGATGTAAGAACATGGGTAATGTAAACAAAAAAGAAATCAATGAAAAAAGAAATCAAAATGATAGAAAGGAACTTTGTGGAAAAAGCAACATGGAGCACAATACAACAGAAGGCTGAAACATCCATGTGACAGGTGTCCAGCAAGAAACATCCAGTCTTTAGTACAGGATATTATCTTCCCTGACTGCTGTGCAGGTTTCATATCATTTGTCCAAGCTGAATACGAGGTTGTCAATGAGGTGTTGAGGCAATGCTGCCCATTTCTCTTGTACCACCAATCGCAGCTCCAGAATTATTAATGGCAATAAGTTACATGTTGCCATGTATCTCCCTAGAAACTTCCATGCATGCTTGATGGGATTTAGATCCAAAGACTTTGCTGGTCAATCCATGTGTTCAGTATCCTCACTCTCCAACAGCTCTTAGATAGCAACTCTGTGATGGAGCATTGTCGTCCATAAGGACCCATAGCACCACTGAAAAGACACATGTAAGGAAGGAGAACCTCATTACAATAGTACTCCCTGATGACTGAAACTCCTTGGAAGATGTGACGGTTGGTACAGCTACCAAAGCATTATGTATTCCCAAACGAGAACTCCGCAACCTCCAAAACCGGTCAATTTTGATGATGCTGAAGGGGTTAATACGTGTTCCCCTCTCACTCCAAATGTGTATGCGTCTAGAATCGCAACTCAGATTAAATCTGCTCTCATCCATAAAGAGAACTTGACCCCATTAATTATCTGTCCGATTCTGGTGTTCCCTGCACCACAGAAAATGCCTTCTCTGATGAGCAGGCATTAATTGTATACACCGTACATGTCGTCGTGCAAACAGACCACCAATGTGCAGCCTCTTGGCTATGGTAAAACGCAATATCGATTATCCAATCACCTGTACCATGTGTCTTGAGATTTCTCCCGCTGTTTGCTAACTGTTTCTTCTTGGCTATAGGTCACTATACCAGTCATATGCTGCTGTGGTTGCTCATAGACAACCATTGCTGAACCATCAGACAGCTGTTCCTGTAGTTTGAAATGCTCTTTAAAGTCGTGAAACAAAGTTATGAGTAATCCCGAACTCCAAAGCTACATTTGTCACATTTCAACCTCCCTCAGTCTTTCAAATGATTTGGCCTCGGGTAAATGCATCCAGATGTCTTCTAACAGATTTATTCTTTGATATTTCATACAGATGCAGCAACACGACATCGTTTAAACTGATATATGCCCTGCAATGATCACACCTCCAGCGATCTTTATTCCCCTCCAACACTCCCCCATTACATCTAGCTGCATATATATGCACATGTGCTAATGTTCCTGACCCTAGTCAATCTCCTGGTTAGTCTTTCAGTCCGCTCTGCCAAATTTGTTCCACTGATAAGCTAATTTTTCAACTCTGTCCTTAATTTTTGCACACCAGTGTATTTTGCTTGGTAAGAATTTCATAATTTTTCTTGAAATTTCATAAGCTTCTATATTTCTCATTCATATAACAATGATGCTGAACTGAAAGCTACTTATTTTATAATAAATGGCAATAATTGAAATAAAGCATATTTTTATAGCATTGTGAAGACTTTTGGGTTTATAGCCAACCTGCGGCATGCCGTGCCACAGAATGACACAGTTGCTATTAATCTCTGTTATGCTACATTGCGGCATGGTGGAGTTTAATAGTGGCATGCAAAGATTTCTTGAAAAATTCAAAAATTTGAAAAAATAATAATGTCATCTACAGGAACTTTGTCAAAACCCCTAAAACCCCTACTCATGTGCTACTGAATACAACAGTACCGGAAAACGGCAATGCTTGACACCAATACAGTGATACAGTCGGTAAGACGGTGTATTCATGGGATGAGCCCAATGGTTTGAGTTGCTTTGCTTTGATGCCATTCGTATCTTACTATGGTTGTCTGTTCTTGAGCGAATGCAACACTCTGGCTGTCTGGCTCAGTTGATTTTAAACTGATGAGTTAGATGTTAAACTTTTTTAAACAGTTTTTAGATTTCGGATTCAAGCATCATTGTTTAAAAAATTTTTTATTTTCATTATGTCTACAAGTAAACCTTTGACATCAAAAAGAAAATATGAAGAGGATATTGTAGTTTGTGATTTTAAAACTGTCTGAGAAGAACAATTTTTGTTTATTCATCAAAATACTTAAAAGCGCGTTTGTTTGATATCTGGAATTTGTGCTGTGTTGCTGAAAAAAATGTAACATGGACAAACATTTCAAACAACTCTATAGTGATTTCAATAGCAAATAGCAAATATCCCGTCGGATCCCACTTGCAAAAGAAACTTATCATTTTTTTTTTTTTTTTTTTTTTTTTTTTTTTAAATCTTTAGCTGGCCAACAATCTTTGTTCCAGAAGAGAAATTATGAAATAGAAACTATGGTATAGGTTTTTTATGAACTTTCTCTCTTGTTAGCTCACAAGAAAAAACACTATTCTGATGAAGAGGAGGTAATAAAAGAACAGCCTTTTAATATTTTCACTAAATGTTAGTGATATAAACATAAAAAATATATTTCATCAAATAACTTTGGCTAAAAGTACCTTCATGCATCATATAGATTACATCGGCCAGGATATTGGCAGACAAATTATCCCTGCATCACAATACTGCAAACACTTTTCATTAACTTTGGATGAAAGCTAGGGCATCACAGACAATGTGCAATTAAGCATATTAGTGCATTACATGAATGATAATTTTTATATTGTCCAATTCCATTGACCCTGCTATTCAGTTCCCTTTTGAACTTGAGACTTGTAAATCTCTTCCATTTCTCAACATTCTGGTCACACGTAACAGATCCAACTTCAGTACTACAGTTTACCGTAAACCTTCATCGGTTTGCCTTCCACCACACTTCAAATCATGTCATCTGACTAAACAAAAGTTAGCTAAATTCTGTTGTCATTTCCTTCTTTCCATCAATTAGCTATAAAGTTGCACGTATTTTGCAGAAATTTAACTTTCGGGTCATTTATTCTCCCATCAATAAAACTCCAAGTTCCATACTCAAGGACTCCATTCCGGATATGAATTCCTGG